CCTCCAATACAGTAGAATAGGTGTTATTACCCCTATTTTAAAGATAAAGAGGCTGAGACTGAAGATTGAGGACTTACCCAAGGCCACACATATCTAGTTGAATTCTATGACACCAAGTAGCCCCACATGATGGATATTGCATGCATTTGATGTTGAAAAGCCCTGGCATCTCAGTGTAAGACTAGTCCGTGAGCAATTGCTGAGTACTACCATGTGTGATTTATTCGACGAACAACTGATTAGAAGCCATAAGGAGTATAGTGGGATCATATTCATAATGATAAAGGGTAAGCGGCATGCCAGGGCTTTTCAACATCAGATGCATGCAGTATCCATCATGTGGGGCTACTTGGTGTCATAGAATTCAACTAGATATATGTGGCCTTGGGTAAGTCCTCAATCTTCAGTCTCAGCCTCTTTATCTTTAAAATAGGGGTAATAACACCTATTCTACTGTATTGGAGGGAAGATTAAATGAGATGATGACTAAACATGTGTCTGGCACAGAATTAGCATATAATTGAGGTGCATTTGCGATTTTCTTTCATTTTAACATTACTGAATGACCCCAAGAATGGTGGTGTGATTGGCAGTGGAGTAGTGTTAAATCCCAGCTCATCCACCTACCAACCACCGCTATGATTTTGAACTAGTTACTTAACATTTCAAAGCCTCAGTTTCTTCATATGTAAATAGAATGATGACCACAGCTAACTCCTAGATTTGAGTGGATTAAGAGAGAGAACATACATAAAGCTTCCACCATAGTAGATACCTCATCAGTGATAACAATTGTTCTCCTCTGCAGTGGAGGATTAAAAAAAAAAAGAAGCAGGAAGATTACTACACATCTCTTGGATGCCTCTATGTCTTTTCTGGTCTTTTCCTGCTTTATAAATTCTGATGAAGACGAATCCACATTAATAGAGGCAATGCTTAATTGCCTCCTTGTGGGCTGGACCCTGTCCTTAGGCAGCACATTACCATATTCTTTTTTTCTTGAGGCATCCAATGGCATATGTCTGTTCTATTAAATAGACCTTCTTTTTAGTGCCTGGCTCAAGAAGGCAACAGCACACACACAATTTCAGACCCCTTGTGTGTATGAACACTCAGGCCTTCACTACACGGGGAAAGCATTCTCGGAGGGGCGAGTGTGGGTATCATTTCACGTTTGTTTGAACCAGTGCCAACCAGACATCCACAGTTAATTGTGTCTCAGCAATCTTCTTCTGGAAAAAATAGCAGTGAGTCAGCCTCCTAGCTGTTGCTTGGACTTCTTTCACTTTTGAAGTTTGCACTATGCACAATGTCACTTCAGCAGTGGTCCCGTAATATGTTGAGCAAATGGAGCACTCCTCCCAGCCAGGCCTCCTGCCACCCAATTCCAACTTCGTCAATCCATCTCCTTCCTTGTGGTTCCAGCAGCACAAGAGAAAGTGGAAGATGTACATTATGGTAGTTTACTCTTTGGAAAAGTACCCTCAAGGTTTGGGCAGAGAGCGCAGGGGAAGGGAAGCAGGGGGGTAGGGAGCAGGGAGGCAGGGAGCCGTTCACTCTAGAAGATCTTTCCAAATGGGCAAGGACAACCCCCCAGGAAAGTTACGGTCTTCCTTTCATCTACAGGTAATGCAGGTGGTGAAGGAGCAGGTTATGAGAGCTCTTACAACCAAGCCTAGCTCCCTGGACCAGTTCAAGTGCAAACTGCAGAACCTGAGCTACACTGAGATCCTGAAAATCCGCCAGTCTGAGAGGATGAACCAGGAAGATTTCCAGTCTCGCCCGATTTTGTAAGTAACCCCTGAGCTCTGTCTCCTCGGAGGCTCTGACCCATCATTTCTGGTCTGAAGGCCGATCACACACAGTGCAGTGGGCCATGTTGTGAGCTGTTTGCAGAAGGCCAACAAAAGACACTCGGGAAGACCTCAGTTCGGTTCATGAAGTCTCAGCAGCTCCCCGAGGAAGGTGGTGCAGGGGCGGCCGAGGGGAAGGCAGGGACAGGCACTGTTGGCAGCAGGACCTAAGCCAGGAAGAGGCCTGGTTACTGATGAGTCCTCTGAAAATTTGTAGCTGAAAAGTGGGGGGACCTTTCCTAACACTTGGAACAAATATTTTTTCTCTGGGAAGCTATTTCTTGGTGGGTGCCTTTGAGTGGAAGATGCTCTGCCCAGCCAGAACAAAGCCCACTGGTAATTCAGGCAATATGAATGTTCAAGTGGTGAGTGGAAGGGAGATGGAGAGGAAGAGAGAGATTCACTTGCCCCTGCCCCATCCATCAGCTTTGCCTCGCCCCGGAGCACCTTGCATCGTCCCCATGACTATCAGCCCATAGGCCCGAGTCTGAGAGCAGCAGGGCCCCTGTTTATAGGACCTTGCAGCAGGTGCACTTGCGACAGTTGTCATTTTGCGTACCTCCATCTTTAGGATGTTCTGAACCTCCAATGAAGACTGTTTGGTTTGCTCCGTCTTTTCTTAGAACTGGCCTATTTATCTTCCCTTGTCCTTTTCTAAGAGCTAGGTCAGTTCTGTTACCCTTATAATTTATAGGGAAGGAAACAGGAGAAGAGGTAGGGGTAAGGAAAGTGTGTGAAATGTGTTCTCATTCCCCCTCAGAAGACTAGCCACAGCTTCTTCTGAACTTTTGTTATGAAGCTGACTTAGAACACAAGTGTCATTATGACATGAACCCCATCTCTCTCTGTTTCTGATTCATTTTCTTTCTGCCCCTCTTTCTGTCCATTACTCTCATATCTTTGACATTTTTAGTGCTTGGCAATTTGCAAAGCAGCCCCTCCTGCTGTTTCATTTCCTCACATCCATGTGAATGAAGTAGGTAGGTCTTATTCCCACTCAAGGAGCAGGAATAGTCCAGAAAGAGGGGAGGAGCCAGGACTTGAGCTCCAGCCCACGGATCCCTCAGCTCATGCTTTGTCCACCCCAGCAGAGCTCCTTTGCGAAGTGCAAGACTAAGATGTGGTTTTAAAAAGTTCACAGGTCTGCAGCTCCCTCATGCGTGCTTGCTCTCAGGCCCTGGGAGGCACAGTCAGAGGCTGCGGAGCAGAAGTGCAGACTTGAGTGAGGGTGGAGCTGGGCGGCAGGGCGGGAATGCTTCCTGGGGGTCTTTGGCTTTCGTCGTGGTGAGACCTGACTTGTACTTGCATTGAGCGCCAGCCAGCTCTGCAGCAGGCACTGCTGGGCCTTTGGGCTGGTCCTCAGCCAGAAGGTACAGCTAGAAATACCAAACAGAAAGCCCTTCCAATAAATGCTTGACTCCTCAGAGATACGGTTTCTTACTTGCAGAGAGGGATGGCAGCACCTCGTCCCATCACAGGGCCTACAGCACCAAAATGTTGGATTCCCTAAGGTTTGTTTCAGCAGATGCACAAACACACAGAGATTTCATTATGCTTTTGACAGCCATTCTTAAAATCTAAAGTGAGGGGCGCCTGGGTGGCTCAGCTGGTTGAGCGACTGCCTTCGGCTCAGGTCATGATCCTGGAGTCCCGGGATCGAGTCCCGCATCGGGCTCCCTGCTCAGCGGGGAGTCTGCTTCTCCCTCTGACCCTCTTCCCTCTCGTGCTCTCTGTCTCTCATTCTCTCTCTCAAATAAATAAATAAAATCTTTAAAAAAAAAAATCTAAAGGGAGACTTGAGAAACCACTTCAGTCAAGGGCGAGGGATCCCAAATTATTGTTTGACCGTGACTTTATTCTAAGTAAGAATGTTAACTGCATGTGAAGTGTGAACACTTTGCTCCTGTTTTGGCTTCATACCTTTATTTCCTGAGGCTCTGCCCATGACATTCTGGTATTTTCCCTTGATTATAAGAGGCTCATGGGGCGCCTGGGTGGCTCAGTCGTTAAGCGTCTGCCTTCGGCTCGGGTCATGATCCCAGGTCCTGGGATCGAGCCCCGCATCGGGCTCCCTGCTCAGCGGGAAGCCTGCTTCTCCCTCTCCCACTCCCCCTGCTTGTGTTCCCTCTCTCGCTGTGTCTCTCTCTGTCAAATAGATAAATAAAATCTTTAAAAAAAAAAAAAAAAGAGGCTCTTACGTTTGCATTTATTATGTGAGGAGAAGCAATGCAAATAAACAGGAAGTCTTCTGTATGTGTGTCCCTTTGGTATCATCATTTGGCCACGGGACTGAAAAGCACACGGCTCACTGGGGCCCTTGCCATGGTTGCAATAAGGGCTCGTTAGAAACTATAGCATTTAAGGGGGCCGTGGGCCAGCCTGATCCTTATCCCAGCCTCCGAAACGGGCAGGTGGGAGCCAGCCTCCCGCTGCTCGTCCGGGATGTTTTGTCTGTTAGAATGACCTGCTAGACAGGAACTCACTGCAGGATTGGATAAAGCCTAAAGGCTGCCGACACGGCTCACAGGACAAATCCACGTCAACAGAAAGGGACAGCCCATGCATGATGGTCTGCCTTCGCTCACTCATTCATTTAACAAATATGTCTCGAATGACTCCTGCCTGCCGGGCCCTGTGCTGCGGACGGGCAGAGAACCAGAGACACTTGCCCCACCCCACCCCACTCTCCCAGGTTGTAAAATTTGGGTGGGAGGGTGAACAGAGACTGTGCTTGAGTGGAGGAAGCAAAGGCAGGGATTGTCATGAGAGCACACGGAGACACATCTCCCCCAAGCTCGGGAGTTAGGATATTCGAAATTGAGAACTGGAAAGTACCTTTAAGGTTCCAGCTTCTCAGTGTGCAGACTGGGACAGTGACTTGGCTGGGGCTTGCCCGCTGGTACAGAACCCTACTGGCCATACCCTCACCAGCCTCTTGACCGCCATAGTGCTCCCCCCACAGCCTGGCTCCCTCTGTGCCTGCCACACACAGCTTGGTAGCAAACCCAAGTGCCCCAGAGAGCCTTTGAGGCACGCGTCCCATTATTATAAACCGTTTATGTTTCCTGAGTACAAAAATGCACACTCTGTGTGAGCAAATATTTGGGGGGAATATTCAGTGGGTTGAAGAAGCTCTGTTGTATTTCTTAGCTCTTGACCGATTATTTCAGAGAGGAGGTATTTGTTACTTTCCACTTAGCATGACTTTACAGGGAAGGTAAGTCCCTCCACACAACTAATCCAAGTTAATGGATATAAAAAACCTGAATAGTCCAAAACCAGGTCATTTAACACTACACTGGGTGGGGAAGGAGAGATGCAAGGATAAACACCAGTGAAGCATAGTAGCAAAAGGTAGAAAATCCATACCCAGGGAGCTAACCAATCTGGGCTCAGACTCCAAGGCCACTACTTGGACATGTGGCTCTTTAGACAAGTTACGTAACCCATTCTAAGCCTGTTTTTCTAAGGTCTAAAAAAGAAAATGATTAAAGTGTCCACATCATTGCACGGTTATGAAGATTCCATGATGTAGTGCCTGAAAAGCACTCAGGATATATGCCTGGCACATAATATCCACTCAGAGAAATGATCCCTCTTATCATTAGCTGATAACCAGAATGGGACATGTTGTCACACTGTTGATATGTCAGTGGTAAAACTGACACTATGACTGTATTTGTGTATGCCTCGCCTTATCTCAGAAGGTACAGTGGAAATATAGTGAGAAAGGAAAAGTAAAAACGGGGCCAGAAATCAGGCTAACGCCTACCCTGCCTATCTGCCTCCTCACTAAATATTGGCCACAAGCTTTGTGCAGGGCCTTCTCTCAGCAAGTGCCAGCAGGATGGTCTGGTCAGTTACACAGTTTTCAGTGTCCAGTGCACTTGATAAATGCTTATCAAATGCCTGCCACGTACCAGGTACTGTTCTGTGTATTGGTGATTTAGCAGTGAAGAGGACAGATGCAATTCTCGCCCTGCAATGATTGTATTTTAGTGGGGAGACACAGACAACAAACATAGTAAATAAGATTATAGCATGTTAAAAGAGGATAATGACAATGGAAATATAAAGCAGGATAAGAGAAATGGAGAGCTGGCAGCCTTAAGTAATGTGGTCAGAGTAGGTCCCTCTAGTTGGGATGGTAACATCTGAGTTAAGATGTTTAAGGGACTAAGGGAGCAGGCCATGTGTATATTTAAGAGAAGAGTATTCCAGCAGAGAGAAACACCAGTGCAAAGGCACTGAGGTAGGAGTGGGTCCGGGTGTTCAATAAATAAGAAGGCCACTGTGGCTGAAGAAGACTAAGCAAGGAGGAGAGCAATAGGAGGTGAGTCCAGAAAAGTGGCTGGGAGTTGATGATGGAGGACCTTGTTGGGGAGCCATTGGAGGGTTTTGAGCAGAGGATTGATGTGCTCTGACTCAGGTTTCTAAATGATCCCTCTTGCTACTATAGTGGGAATAGACTCCAGGGAGGCAAGTCTGGAACCAGGGAGGTCAGCAAGGAAGTTATTTCAATAACCCAAGCGAGAGATGATTCGAAGTGATTCAAGTCTCTACTATAGATTAGATAGATTTTGAAGATAAGAAACAATGATATTTCCTGATTGATTGAATAGGAGAAAGAGAGGAGTCAAGGAGGAGTTCACAGTTTTGTTTGAGCTGAACAACCAAAGGCGAGAAGGAGTAGAGCAGGTCGAGACAGGGGGTCAGGAGTTCAGTTTTGGACCTGTCAAGTTTGAGGTGTCCGTGAGACATCCACATTTGGCATGTCTCACAGTTGGTTTGACGAATTTGGAGTTCAGCTGAAAGGTCCGGGTTGGAAATATAAATTTGGGAAGCTGTCAGCATAAAGTTGATATTCAAAGTCATGAGTCCATAATATAAAGAACAGAAGAAATACAAGGACTGAATTTGGAGGCCCTCCGGTTGTCAAGACAGATCAATTTCCATGAAACAGACACTGCCCCTCAGCACCCCCAAAGTCTTCACAGAACCCTTTTAGATCAGGGGTCGGCAAAGTATAGATGGCTCTTGGGGCAAATCCAGCTCACTACCTGCTTCTGTAATTGGAGGTTTATTGGAACGCAGCCACACTTGTGTGTTTACTTACCGTTCGTTGACTGCTTCCACTCTACTGCGGCAGAGCTGAGTAGTTGCCACAGACAGCTATAGCCCCGAGAGCCTGAAATATTTACTGTCTGGCCTTTACAGGAAATGCGTGCCACCCTCTGTTCTAGGCGGACACCGAGTAGCAGCTCAGTGGGGCAGACCGCAAGGCCAGGAGGCAGCTCACTGGTCTAGCAGTGCTGTCTGTCTTCTGTATGTGGCACTGGCCTCGCTGCTGGCCTTGGACCTGGGATTGTCTCCCAGAAACGATGCTGGACCTGGAATTGCTCTTCATACACTCATTCACCCTACCCCCTTTAATCTTCCTTCTTTTATTTATTTACAAGGCCTTTAGACAGAATTAGAAGAATATCTATCAAAACGAGGGCAGTGAACCCATGACCTTGGCCTCATTGACCCCAAGCTGAGAATCTCTATCCCAAACTGCAGTCCATAACGCATTACACTGAGGTCCAACCTCATCCACAGACACATCATGTAGGTGTTCTATATGTTTTCCTAATATGAGTGAATTTTATAGCAAGTGGGTCCATTTGCATGAAAAGAAGGGGAAATCACTTAGAAAAAAAGAAAAGTTGTCCTCTTTTTCTCATTGCCCAGTCATGTTTTAGAGACCTTTGGGGTTCACAACAAGGAACGGTTAATTCTTGCTGCAGTGGATTCACTCACTCTGGAAATATCTCCCCAGGAGACGTTTCCATAATGGAGTGTGTCACCATGCGCATGTCTGGGTCTTACACTAAGATGTCATAAATCATCGACTAAAATGACTCGGAAGTACTTTCAATTATTTCCTCCTTTTGGTCCTCTTCCCTGCATCTTTATCTCCTTTTTAATAATTCAACTCTAGCCTACTAAAACTATTATTTAAAGATACATCGCAACCTAAGAATCAATGAAATTCCCAAACCCTTTCTCCAGTGACCTCTCGATCCCTTAGTGCCATTTCATCCTCTCTGCCCCATCGCCCTGGCTTGGAAGTCAGGAGCGGTGATTTATTGTTGCGTGTGGCTGCCCTGGCATTTCCCCCCACCTTTTTCTCCCATTCAGAGCAGGGTTCATCAAAGCTGCAGTATACTAAGTCCATTTTACAAAAGCTGAACACTGATGATAAATAGTTTTAGTCATCTGAAAGGCCGAGATGAGACCCTGGAGGTCTGCGCAGGAGAGCTTTACAAAGGTACCAAGCTGTGTTCTTAGGACTCAATCTCCATATTATGCTTTATAAATGTTCAGTTGCAACGGTATCAAATGACAGGAGGTTTAAAGCCATTGGAGTTTAAAATATGTATTAGCAGAGTACTAGCACACCTCATTAGAGGGCCAGATCCTTTGATGTGACTTTTTAATTCTCTTTATCTCACATGTAAATAGAAGCAGTTTGTATGCAGAAGATTGAGTTCCACACTTAACCTCTATGAGCTGTTTCCCCACCTGTAAAATAGAAATAATAATACCTACGTATTAATAACACTACTACGTGTTCCCAAAACTTGGAGGTTTTTGAGGGGGAGCGAGAAGGGGATGTTAACTGAGCTAAAATCGGATAGTCCCACTACCCGACTCAAAGCAGGCACTTCCCAAGCGTGAGTGCCTTCCCCACCCATGAGCCAATCACTCTGTGAAGACAGCCTGTCTGCAGTCGGAGCAGGTCCAGAGTTGAGGTGGAAGCTGACAGACATGTGAGCCATGACTACAGTGAAATGTGGGCGTATGGAGAGTTGGCCTGAGGGAAGGAGAGAGTATCATCAAAGCAAATTCAGTAATAACCTCGCGTTCCTGCCCAGGGGGCTCGTAGAGCACTTGCACTTACACTGTCTCCTTTGGGAGTCACAGCGTTTTCCCACAAAATGTTCGTATCCCCATTTTACAGGTGGGAAAACTGAGACTTAGATGAGCTACATGAAATGCAAGTCATGGACAGAGTCTAGATTGAAACCCTAGTCTTCCAAGTTCTAGGTCTATGTTCTAATCAATACTTTAACACTACTGAGGGTTCTCCCTGTCCAGCATCAACCAGAACAGCTCTAGCTTTCCTAGACTCAAATGCTAGAGCACTACATAAAATTTCACATGATAAAAAAAAAAAAACAACTATTCTCTTGGGGCACCTGCATGTCTCAGTGGATTAAGCGTCCGACTCTTGATTTCAGCTCAGGTCATGATCTCAGGGTCGTGGGATGGAGCCCCGAGTTGGGCTCGTGCTCAGCCAGGAGTCAGCTTGTCCCTCTCCCTCTGCTCCTCCCCCTGCTCTCTCTCTCTCTCTCAAATAAATAAATAAAATCTTCTTAGAAAAAAGGAGATTTAAAAAACATTGTACTCTGTCCTGATATCTTTAAGGCATAGTGCATCTAAAACTAAGTTATATTATATTAGCCTGACTCAAGATGCAAATAATCCCTAATTTATCCTATCATTATCCCCAGCTCTGTGGGCTAGAATCAGGGATGATATGTTGCTCCCATTTGTAAGTGATAGAGTGGAAAGCAAAATGTGGACCTGCAGTTTGCTGTGGAATTAGTAATTACATGGCTGCCCAGTATTGCTCTTTGGTCAGATCACAAATGTAGTCTGGGAGTTTACCTGCTGTAGGGGGGGAAGTGTGACCAAAGATTTATTGTCTTGGCAAAGCCAAGTGAGTTTCTGCATGAGTTTATATCTGTGGCTTTGTGAAACAAGGGAAGAAACTTCTCGGGAGGCTTTGGTATAGCAAAACGTCACGGAAGTGGCTGGTGCTTTGGTGGGTATTCTGTAAATGTCAGAGAATCTATAGTGTTGTTTTAACAGATCAACCTGTCCACTAACTCTTAATAAATAATCCTCTAATGCACCACCTTGGGAGGTGTTGGGATGGTCGTGGAAAGATGTGGCTTGCACTTCGCTGCCCCATCTGCCCACGATGCCCTTTCAACCAGGCGCTGTTCTCAAGGCATGCCATGCAATGCGTGTGTGTTCTTCACAGGGAACTGAAGGAGAAGATTCAACCAGAAATCTTGGAGCTGATCAAACAGCAACGCCTGAACCGCCTCGTGGAAGGGACCTGCTTTAGGAAACTCAACTGCCGGCGGAGGCAAGGTATTGTGTCTGGGGCACTGTGTCCCAGCAAGGGTGAACGGTGGCCTGCTCCCCTGGGGAGTCATGGGGCATGGGTGCCAGCTTAAGGGTAGGCCTTGCAGCATTGGACTCCGAACAGGAATAGCAGTTCGGGTAAGTTCTGACTCCCCATGTGCACCCAGGGAAAATCAAAGAATTACCAGAAGACCCATGGAACTGAAAAGCCACCTGAGCTATTTAGCGCCACGAGTCTGCTAGTGTGTGTTCAAGAACAGCCAACATGTATCGAGAGCTTACCATGTACCAGGCTCTCCTTTTACTTATTTTAATGCATTTCCTCCTCCTGGTAACCCTGGGTAACCCTGTGGTTATACCCACTTCACAGATAAGGAAACTGAGACCCTGAGGAGCTAACTAAGTTGCACAAAGTTGCGGAAGAGCAAGGATTCATACTCCAGCAACTCTATGGCCCTTACTTTCATTTTATTTTTATTTTATTTTAATTTTTTTTTTTTTACGGCCTTTACTATTAATGACTCCCTCTGGTGTCAGGAGAGCTGGTACCCACAGCTGGATTTGATTTTGGAACTTTCAGCATGGATGGCCCTAATTCTCAAATCCCCATACTGATTCCCTTCTAGGTGAAAATTACTTTATCTGGAGATTTAAGTAACAGTGCACCAAGGTGGGATAGAATCAGTTTTCATAATCTTGCAAGAAGAACTTCTGAATTGTCTCAGTGAACTTTAATCCCAAAATACCATGTCATAATGGGTGCCATTAGACTAGTTCCAATAGACAGGAGGCACTTTCTGCTCTTTCTCAGTCAGGGAAGTGAAGTCTTTTGATTGCTTTCTTCTTCTCTTGACAGGCTGCTGATTGCAAAGTCACAGGATTCATGTCATACTGTCCTATAAACAAACAGTCAGAAACTAAAACTAAAGATAAATCTGGGGAGAGTGATGAGATTGAGGGACAACCCGGAGCAAGCATAAGCAGTAGCAACTCTACCAAGAAAAACACCAGTTATGGCCCAGGAGAAACTCTGGCAGATATTTTTGAAAACCAGTGGATGCTCTGCTCAGACACAGAGCTCACCCACTAATGACAAATATCATTTCATGTTTATGCCAAGCCCGTCCCCCTGGCTATTTTCTTTAATGGCTTTGTGCTGAATATTGAGTAAATTCAAACAATTTCAGATATTACAGTTAAAAATCATATTAAGGAACTTCCAAAGGCAGAACTTCCTTGAGAAATGAAAGTATAGGTTGTTCCCAGAGGATGGCAAGCTATGGCACCGAGCTTCAAAAGGGGCCTCAGGAGAAAGGACCATGGGCAGAATGATGATAAGAGCTAAGTTCCAGCTGGGACTGAGAAAGGCTCCGTTGGGAGAGCAGCCAAAGAGGGAGCTCCCTCCTTTCTCACCGCATTCCTTGCATGGGGCATCGTCATCAGGGCAAATGCTTTTCCAGAAGATAGTGTGACATGATGGTGAGGACAAGAGCCCTGGGGCGGGATGAAATGGGTGCACTCCCGCCTCTCCCCCTGACCAGCTGTGTGACCGTGGGCAGTCTCCCCATCAAAAATGGGGATAACAGGACACCTGGGTGGCTCAGTCGGTTAAGCGTCTGCCTTCGGATCAGGTCATGATCCCAGGATCCTGGGATCAAGCCCCACATCAGGCTCTCTGCTTAGAGGGGAGCCTGCTTCCCCCTCTGCCTAGTTCCCCCTGCTTGTGCTCGCTCTCACTCCCTCTCTCAAAAAGAAAAAAGAAAAAAAAAAGAAATGGGGATAACAATGCCTGTGTCCTGAAGTTAGTGTGAGGAGGGAAGGTGATCATGAATGTAGCTCTGAGAAAGCCACCACAAAAGGTAGCAGCTACTCTTCTAGGAGGTTATGTAGGAAAAGAGCGATGAGCTGGGAGTGAGTAGACTTGACTCTCGGCTTCACAACTCTAAGTAACCAACTGAGCGCCTTTAGGCAGACATGTAATCTCTCAGGGCTACAATTTCCCATCTAATAAGTGGGAGAATTGGACTAGATGATCTCTTAGCTCAGTTAGCCAGATAGTCGATTCTATGCTTGATCTTTTCATCACCTTTGGAAAAATCAATAGTCAGGACATACTGCTCCCATAAGATGATTTATAAAGTTTTTATTTACTTGGCATTGGGCAAAGGACATAAAAGTGGGAGGAGGAGGGAGAAGATGGCACATGGATTTATACCATCCAGTGCCTCCACTGATGTCTAACTAGAATCCTCCAGAACGTAATTCAAAGAACTCAACTTAACCTTCTGGTCTACTTTACTACAAGTCTTCTTCCCTTTCTAGGCTGAAATGGATAAGATTCTACTAGAATAATCCTGTTTCTAGATATAATAATGACAGTCTTTTGGCTAAAGAAGTATCAGCCCATTATTTGCAAATTTTTCCCGTTTTCTAAAAACGAATTACCTAATGAACAAAAAAATATTAGCACCTAGATTATAAATTTATTAGTTAAGCTCCCTAGGGAGCCTAGCCATCTGTATTTAATATAAAATCATCCTTCTGGGTGCAGAAAGGAAGACCTTTTGGTGTTGGGTAAATGGATTTAAAATCTGGTGACTAGATCTGCATGCATAAAAGTAGGGATTCAAAGCAGACTGTGATGAGATTGGTTTCCTATCACCCCATAGAAACATTCCACTTAGATTTACACAGATTAATGAGGACATGACGTAAAGTCATTTTTTAAAAAGATTTTATTTATTTATTTGAGAGAGAGAGAGTGAAAGAGAGCATGAGCAGGGGGAGGGGCAGAGGGAGAAGCAGGCTCCCCGCTGAGCAGAGAGCCTGACAACGTGGGGCTTGATCCCAGGACACTGAGATCATGACCTGAATCCCCCAGGCGACCCTGTAAAATCATTTTAATCCCTTCGAAAGAGGTGCACTTCCACAGGAGCTCTCAGAAGGGAATAGCCACGTGCCCTCCCAGGTTAAAGAGCAAGGACTCTGTGAAGGAATGGCAGCCATACTCTGTTAAAACTTGTTCAACAGTGAGTCAAATACAGATGAGCCGATTTAAGTATTAACTGTACAGAGGATAATAGGAAAGAGCTTTCTGTCCCACAGAACCGGAAAGCGGGGGAGCAGACAGAGTCCTTTACCACACCACATTTGGACAGAAGACCCAAGTTAATACCTACCCATCATTCTCCCTGCCTCATGCACAGCTCTGCTACTTGGTTAGACTGATGGGAGATATTCACAGATCTGGGTTTCTAGGAATTCTGGCCACACTGGAGAACTTGGAGGCAGTAAGTCATGTGAGACACCTCAAGTGGTATTCAAGTCTCTGCTTCCCCAGTCGCTAGCTGGGTGGCCTTGGGCAACCTACTAGATCTCTCTATGTTCCTATTTCTTTATCTGTCTAATGATGCCAGTTGTAAGTAAGGGTAGAGTGCTTTACACATTGTCAAACATGATTTAGTGACATTTAGCATTAATTTTAGCTTGTAGATCCTCAGAATATAGGTTTTTAAACACAGGTGGGAGAGTGGCAATGGATGTCACATACCAACCTCACTCCATTCTGTTCCCACCACAGAGTATCTAAGGCTCCTGTTCCGACTCCTTCACAATGAGATAGATTGCCTTGCTTCTGTGTCCCCTGGGCTTCTGTGGGACCGAATTCAGATGAAATTCCAGAAGTTGTCTATGGTAGGGCCATTATTTGCATCATGAGAATCTGCAGGATCAAGAACTGCTCCCTGTTTTCCTTATATTTCAGAGATTAGAGTCTTTCAGAATCCTTCGTGTTGAATAGTCTTGATAAGAGCCCAGGGCTACACATTGGAGTGTCATTACAAGAAATGATAGCATGAAACTTTTGCTTCTCATTGAAAACGTTGTCCATTTTGTTGGCCAGCATCCCTTCTCTAAGCACTAACACAACCACCTTCTCTAAGCACTAACATGACAGACTTAATTTGGAACTCGGATGTGAGCAAAGCATGTGCCCCGAGGAACTAGCATGCTTCCGTGTCCCTGCCAAGGGTGATTTACCTTATCTCGGTGTCTCCACTCAGAAAACCTAGAGCCAAGTGGTATATTCAGGCATAGTAACCAAATGAACCCTCGTTAGGAACAGGCTGTTTCTTCCTCCACTGTTGATTGAAATTTTTGTTTAATATTTAATTAAACCTTATCATAACTCATTTTTATTTTAAAAAAAGGGATAAATCAACACATATTTTTAAAGGAAGAAAATCCAGTTGATTTTCAGGGACAAAGCACTTTCCAGTAGCTCAAAATAAGAGATGATCCTTGTTCTCAGAAGGTAGAGCGAGCAGGAGTGGACAAGAGGGGTTACCGTTAATGGGAAAAAGAGGAAGATGCTAACAGCTGTGAGCCAGCTCTGTGCAGGATGCCGAAATGTTTTAGATAATAATTAACATTACGTAGCAAAAGGGGAGTAGGGATCTCTAAGGTTCTTACAGCTTGGCCGAGGCTACTTAGCTGATGTGTGAGGGCCAGGTGTGGAGCCCAGGTCTGTAAGACTCCAAAGCAGCAGTTAGGCCAAACCATTTTTAAAAGGATTTGGGGTTCTGGAGTCATCTTCTGTTGTGAAAGGAAGCAGCAGTCTTCAGGGAGACAGAATTCGGAATCAGAACACCATCTCGTTCTAAAGATTATCCAGTGAAATGAGGAAGATTTGGAAGGCAGGATGGCCTCTGTCTCTATCTATATTCACTGTCTTCCTTTACTGGACCAATAGAGCAATCTCATCAGACGTATCTCATCACCTCAAAGAAGACATTTCCCCTTAAAAACAGTGCTGCGTCCCTCGTGTTTTATGACTTGAGAAGCCTCAAACCTAGGCAGGAGAAAGACCTGAGCACACTAAAGATGTTGCACATTTTAGGTTAACCTAGGAAAGCTCCAATATCCTAATAGAAGTGCCCTAAGATTTTACTTTAGTAAAGGCCACCTGCTTCCCAAACACAGGACTCTCAGGGCCCCCTGGGCCAGCAGCCATTTGCCCCCTGAGTCCCCGACAGAGCCGATCAAGACTCCGTTCTTGCCGTGCCCTGTGCCTCACTGACCCTCCCAGCATTTCACACTCATGGTAGCTAGTATCCAGCTTGCTGGGCCCCCCTGCAGTCCCACTGGCCAGCCCCAAATGTGCGTCTAGCCTTGGTGCTAAAGACTAACGGTCTTCTGTTGGATATAGCTACCTATGGCTCATTTAATTGAACTTAAATAAAATTTAAAACTTCTTTTCTTACTATTGGATAAGTATCTATGGAGTATTTCTGTCATAGCAGAAAGTTCTATCAAACAGTGCTGCAAGAATTACAGTTGTCAGTGGTTATTAGCTCCGTAATGATCTATGCGACATTGGGAATAGCTTTAATCAGCCCTGGAGAACTTCTTACCAGGCTTGTGAGCTCTGAAACCGCTTTTCTCTCTGATCCTACACACACACATACACACACACATGCATGCACGCCCACACACATGCACTCATACAGAGACAGACCGAGAAAGTGAAGCACAGAATTATCTCTATCTTGTCAGTTTTTGAATTTGGAGAATGAAGAAATGGTTATTAACGTGCTAACAATCGTAATTGACTGGAAGACCTCTGTGTTAACTCCTGTTTATTCTTTAAATGCTAGTAAACAAACTTCAATAATGTTCTCACTGCTTCCTGCTAATTGCTTTTAGTGACACAATCCACTCATTCATTGCCCAGGGGGATTGAGGAACTAGTAACATCATGCTGGGTTTTGAAAAGAAATACACATTTTTCTTACCATAAAAGAAACTGCAAATCAAGCTGCTGCTGCTGGCTGACATGGAAACTGCCTCACGCTACGAGCTGGCATGTTTTCTTGCTCGGAACTGGCCGCTCAGCTGTCCTCTACAGCAGCTCCCCCTTTGAGACAAACACACACAAGTTATGATCCTCTAAACCTTCCCAGAGCTAATGACTCCAGCCCTCATCCTGAGGAAGATACTGTCATGGCATCCACCCGTTTGCTTATGAGTCAAAACAGCCTCCCCAAGACTTTCCAGCCCCTGTCTCCAGTGTTCTGTCATCCATCCAAGACTTCCTGTTTGATGGGGAGGAAGGAACGGAGCAATCCCTTCCATTAATGACATCCAGATCTTTTTGCTCTCTCCCATTTTAGTAGTAGCCTGAGAAAGAGAAACTCACATAGGGCAGGAGAGGGGTTAGCCAGAGGTAGGAGGAAATTCCGTCAGCTGTGCCCCAGATATCGATATGCCAGGGTTCCGAGAGGCCTTTGGTGTTTCTTTTCAGTAAACATGCACCACAACTTTGCGAAGACAGTGGTCGCTTTGCCTCCAGGAACCGTGATAAATAACCACCGTCCTCTCATAGTTTCTGAGTGGAAGAATACGCTGCACAAGAGGCCTTCCCTATTCCTATTTTTCCCTGCAGTCTACTCAGAGTTGCTGAGTCCCTGTGCCTGTTTCCTAAGCCTGGGAGACAAGTGTTTCCACCATGTTTCTCTTAGTTGCCACCAAGAACCAAGGGAGCTCCTCATCCTTGAACTTCTTGGCTCTGTCTCTCATGTCTGCCTTTCACCCTGATGAATTTGTGCTGTACCCAGCAGAGTTCCATGTGCATCGGGCACTCTGCAAATATTCACTGGATAAGGAAACGTCCCTTGAAAGCATATGCAGCAGAAATTTTTGAAGTCTTACAAACAAATATAAGTTGTGCATTTTACTTCACAGTATATCTGCTTGATCCACTTAAATTTTGTAATGCTCCCCAGTATCCTGAGAATGAGTGATCTTTGATTGCATCATATTGGCCCTTGGGTTTTAGGTTACTACCATTACCCCTGGAGCTTATCCCAGCTTAAGAAGTGAGGGGTCCCTGTAAAGAACAGGTTGGGCCCTTACTCAGAATAAGACCAGCATGTCCCAGTGCACAGCTCACTGACTTCCTTGCCGGCTTTCTGTGACCCTTCAGTTACCCACTTAGCTAAAAATCCCAGTGCTGAGGTATCAGGGGAAGGAAGCTTCATAGTAAATCTCTCCAGCTGGCTTTGTGCAGTCTCCGCAGGCCCCCCAGGAGCACTGCTGATGCTCACGACCAGAGCACCGCCTGCTCCTTTGGAATTCACAATTCCTATTGTGAATCACGAGTCCGATTCCCAAATGTGTTCTCCTCATGGAGAACTGGTGATTACATGTTTGCCTAATTGAAATGACTGTAGATTATTCAGGGAGTAACTTTATTTTCTCCCTTTGAAATAGTCTCCCAGGAAAATGACCTGTGTTATATGTGTAGATTTAACATGATCTTAAAAATTGAGCAATGCCAGGTGTTACCCTAGCCATCAAATAACTTTTCCTTTCCTCTCAAATTTTTCCAGCAGAGTTCAGATTCTTTTTAAATTATATGGATTGCCATATTCTGACTACATTAAAGAATTCTCAAACCCTATTTATAGATGAGGAAGATGGGAATCACAGAGGCATTTCGCTTTTGTGGATCAAGTTTGGGCGTTTTCTTTGTTCGTTGTGTGGTTTTCCTTCCATTTTTAACACTTTCTTTTCTATTAAAAGAGTCCTAGTTAAGACATAAGTTTTGCAGTGAAGGTAATTTTAGATAGGAACCCACTTTCCTTAAGTGTTATGGAGTACTTTCTAATCAGAGTAGTTTGAAAACAATACATTTGGAGACACAGTAATGAGGTGACTTGACCAAGGCCACCATGTTCGCCAACTGCATGACTGTACAGAGGGGCTTACAGGTCATGGATGCTTTCAAGGTCATACATGCTTCATGTCTTAAGTGTTTTGACCAAGTCCCCTTGGGTCCTCATATATCAATTTAGCCAACACCAACTGTGCTACTCCTATGTGCCAGGCACTGTGCCAAGGGGTTGGGATAGAGTCATTATGAAGACAGGGGCTGTCATTAGAGAGCCCTGGCGTCTCCATACTGTCTGGGCTCATGAGTATCCTGAGTCCTCTTCCATCAGTAATTATTCACAGTACACCTGCTAGGGCAAGTTGATTCCCTAGGGTTTGTGGCAAATAATAATACCAAGATGCTTCACATGGGGGCCCCCATAATCAAGGAAGATGTTGGGGCAGCTAAGAAGATGGGGAGAGTCCCTTCAGAAGTAGTAATCAGAGAGGGCTTCCTGGAGGAGGAGGCATCTAAGCACAGCCTTGCTTGAGTGCTTCACGAAGATTGCTGTCATAATTTAAGCTCTTTATCTATATAAGTGTTTTTTGCCTCCTCCTTCCTACCTCACAGGCTTATTCAAACATTTTTATTACATTTCAGTGCAGAGCAGGTTAGGTTGAGGGGGTTATTTGTAAGAATGACTCTAAGGCCCTGATCATGCCTATTTCTTTGTTTTTGTCTTAATTTTTAAATTTTGTTTAGTTTCAGGTATACAACATAGTGATTCTATACTTCTATATATTACAAAATGATCACCACAATAAATGTAGTAACCATCTGTCACCATACAAAGTTGTTACAAGGTTACCAATTATATTCCCTACGCTATGCATTACATCCCCATGTCTTACTCATTTTATAACTGGAAGACTGTATCTCTTAGTTCCCTTCTAGTCATGTCTATTTAGAGAACTAAACTCTAGGAATCGGAGAAGAGACGATTGTGACTATCCTCATTCTTTGGATAAATCCCTGAATTATTTAGATGATTTTCTCATGAATTCCACCCCTTGTGTCTATCACTAGCATCCTAATAATTCATTCTTGGATTAATTTGTGTGTATTAGCCCCAGAGGTGGGGGTCTGGTGCACCAACTAAGATATGGCACACAGCTATCTCAACAGTCTTAACATCTTGGAGAAGAATGTGGAAGCAGAAGAGTTCCAAGAAAGCTGGTTTTTCTACATCTACCTCCCCACTTTTGCCAGGCTTACGTGGACAAGGAATAATTCCCATAGTCATTATAGATACTGATGAAATAAACCCTCTGGAAACTGCCACCTCAGAAAACCTGATGCCATTATTCCTGAAGGGTTTAATGACCTCCCGAATGGTTAGCAGGACAGTGCTAACTAAATATCAAAATCAAAAGGGGACTTATTACCCAGGGCGCTAGAATTCATTCCTTCCTGAAGACCTAAAATCAAATGCATTGCTTGTTCTTCTAGGCAAGACTCTTACGAAATAAAGATGTCGATATTTTTGGAAATCAGATTCACTTACCTTATAAATTTGTATGTGTTTTTTCCCCTCAGACAAATTTTGGTACTGTCGACTTTCACCCAACCACAAAGTCCTACACTATGGAGACTTGGAAGAGAGTCCCCAGGGAGAAGTGCCCCACGATTCCCTGCAGGACAAACGTAAGTGGCTCTCCTGTGTAGGAGGACTGAGTTTGGGTGGTTGGTTTAGCTTCCTGGTCACAAAATAGCATGCAGGAAAACTACCAACCCAAATTAATCCAGGGGGCATGTCTCATCTTGTTGTAAGTCCCAGCCCGAGCATTCCCATCATGCACGAGACCCTGATGGATTATGGGTTTGGGGCTGAAGAGGGGAGGGTGCAGAAGGAATGCTCACATATCTTTCCTGAAAAATACAAACCTGGAGTTCAGACATCCACTTTTGCACCACTTTCCAGGTGCTGTTTCAAGGAGCAAAGACAACAGAAACTTGACTCTGTCAATTGTCTTTTTCTGGTGACCCAAAATAATTTCACGAGAGTCCCTACCACATTTATTCATTATAGTTTAGTGTATCCCATCATTATAATGCAGCGTTAATGGCAGAGAAGTAACTGAGACACTCAGGAAAATCTATGATCAGTTACATTCTGTTGTCAGCAAACTATTCCCTGAAATACTTTTTATTTGTATTTATTTGCTGTTTCTGTATGATATTTTAACATGTATGTTTCCAAGAGCCAGTAATTTGCTAATTATTTTAGCCCAACACCAAACCAAGTTCCAGGTTTTTAGACAGTAATAAGTGTACAAATTAAACCAGGTATTATAGAAACATTAAACATTAAAATACACCAGGGTGATGAATTAATTTAGATGAGAAATGAGATAAAATGGTGTCAGAGGATATCCCAGGTAGAGAACCCAAAGAGTGAGAAAACAAAAACACTTTTGAAGAGCCTTCAAAAGTCACATTGACCCTGCATGAGTCATATAAGCGTGTCCCAGACCAAATCCTTACCCCCAAGCCCCAGCACCTTTCCGCTTGTCGCCCCAGGGCCCACGGAAGTCAGCTCTGGACTGCCTTCCTTGCAGCCCATGGCCACCAAAGGCAACAAGTAGCCACAAGTGAGAAGCTCCTGACACATTCAGACTCTGGGCTGACCTATCAGGCGGACAGCCTGGAACATTCTCTCTTCCTCCAGCATCAAAATGCAACAGTCTGGTCTTCATAGAGTCATTTAGTTCAGAAAGCGATCTTGTTTGCCATCATAGGAGCACGACTTCGCCGGCGCACATTATTAGCCCCGTTAGTGGGAGGAGCAGGAAATCAGAAAGGCATGAGTGCAGAGTCGGCTGGTGTCTGCATCCCTACTGTGGCAACGTAACGAGGACTCTCCCTTCAGGTCTCAGAAAGCCTTGCCCATTCCATCATGGACAAGCTGGACCAGTGGTTCTGAGGGTGGTCCTTGGACCATGAGCAGCATCTCCTGAAAACTTACTAGAAATGCAGGTTTTGCAGCCTCATTTCCAGTCCTGCTGAATGAGAAACTGGGGGTAGGGGCCGGCAATCTCGGTCTTCACAGACTCTCAGGCAATTCCAATGCACATTCAAAGTGAGAGCCCCTGAGCTAGATACTCTGCTCTGCATGGTGATTTCCCAAAGTTGGCTTCACCAGTAAGTAAATATTTCAGAAGAGCAAAAAAAAAAAAAAAAGTGAATTGACAGTGGGTTGCCAACTTTTAATTTTGGCAAAAAAAAAAAAAGTCTATTAAAAAATGAGATCTAACTAAAATTTAATATCGCATTCCTTTCATTAAAAAAGGGCTCTTGATCATGAAAAACAATAAGAAAGACCTGAAAGACCTAATCTTGGAATATAGGACAGTCCCGTCTACTAAATTAAATTAGCTTTATTAAAAACTCACAGCTGTGTCTTCATTTTCCTCTGTTTGCTATTAACTGGTGAAAAACTCACTGGTGAAACCTCCCTCATGAACTTAGAACTTTCCAGAGGTCAGCAATTTGGAATCACTGCTCTGCAGTGGTAAAATGAGGAGTTAAAAGTTACTGTTGCTCAAGGCAACCAGAAGTTCTACACAAAATCTTCCATAGTCTCATTCTTAACCTGATCAGGAAATAGGGAAAATGGTCTGGGCAGAACACGAACACACACACACACACACGCACACACACACAGCTTGATTCATTTTTTTTCCCCATGTGGGCCAGTGAATTGGCTCTCCCACTCACTGAACATATTATTTATCCCCATTTTTATAGGGATATAATCTTCTTCTCAACCCACAGATAGACATTTGGTTGGCATTGTTTGCAGGTTTTATATGTAGCACTCCCATTCTAGCTGGTTCTGTTGCTTAGGAGATTGGTAGCCCTGTTCCTAGAGAATGTCTGAGCCTTGTAGGGGCAGCTCCTGGGCTTGCTGGCAAGCTGATACCCCCCAGCTCTACCAAGGCCTGCACCCCCAAGAGCCCAGGTGAAAGTGACTAGCTATAAACCCGGAGTGCCAAAGCCAGGGAGAAACAGCTTGCCAGGGTGGTCGCAGAAGAGCAAGGCCAGATCTGCAAATCTCCAAACAGCTTTTGGTAGTGGCCACGGAGTGATACTGGTTCTGGGAAAGGGTTACAATGGTCCCTTCTGACAATGGCTCCAAAGACTCTAGCCTGCCCCTTCTTCTGCAAGCCAGTACCTCAGAGTTCAACAGAGCTGCTCCATCACCAGGTTATCTCCTTTGCAGGATAAACCAGGAATGCATACCTGTACAAGTGTATGCACGTAGGAGGGTGTGTGTGTGTGTGTGTGTGTGTGTGTGTGTGTGTGTGTGTTGGTGAGATAGTATCTGGATGCGCGTATGAGCCAGGGAGGGCGTGTATTCATGTAAGAAGTAAAATGGACCTAGTATGTGCCTGGGATGGGCAGGCCTCAGCTTAGGAAACTTAAGTTGACTGCTTCAGACCTGTCACTGGTTTGCATTTAATTCCAATTCCGCATTCTGCCCATCCTCTTAGAGCCCTTAGAAGTCATAAACCTCATTCCACTAGAAAAATGAAGTGTTCCTTTAATTAATATCAAGTGCCATTGCTCTTGCCATGTACGAGTGCCCTCTCCTGAGACCAAGGGGGAAGTTGTCTTCTGCCCCTCGAGTTAATCAGTGCTGAATATTGAGATATTGATGAATCAAAGAGTGTAATTGAATCTTCTTAATACAGAGAGGGTGAGTAGAAATCGAGGGCCTCTCCCTAGCGGTCATCACCCCAAAAGGTTTAGAAAATCTCTTCTCGTATTACTTCTGTTTGGCAGGAGATACGGCCCCACATCCCAATCACCACGTTTACAGGATCTCATCGTCCCCACTAGACACTAGACTCCGCGGCTTTCCAGCCGTGCCCCAGGCCCCTCAGTGCCGCCCTTTGAAAGAATCTAGGCCAGAGCTCCTCACTCCCACATCAAAGGGGCCAGGGAGGAGAAGGCTCACCCCCTCACAAGGCGATTAAGCCTGTTACAGAGGATGAGAGGAGCAGCTGAGAGAGCAAAGCAAAGTGGGCAATTTGGGTCACCGAAGCACCATGAATAATTCAGGTTCCTTGATCTACAGAGACAATTAACTTTGATTATTGATAACGAGAATAATTATGAACAACATTTATTGAGTGCTTACTATATGCCAGGCACTGTGCTGAGAGCTCTACATAAATTACCCTCTCACCAACCTGGAGAGGTAGACATCATTGCCCTTCTTTTACAGACAAGGAAACTGAGGTACAGAAGACTTTTAATAACCCATGGTTAGTAAACAGTAGAGCAGAGATCTCTGCGACCATCTAACTCCATAGCCCCAGCTTTTAACCACGACCCTGCACTGCCTAGCTGAAAAGCCAACAATGATCCCGCTCCAGCGTTAGGACGTCATTCTTGGGGCAACTCTCTGACGCAGCTGATGCCAGAGTTCCACATTGCAGACGAGGACGGTTAGGCTCCAAGCACTTCAGCCCAAGTGGAACAGATCCAGTGGTGGATCTAGAATTCAAAGCCAGTCTGTGACTCCAAAGGCACAGCCCCTCCCACTGCTCTGCGCTGCCAGATTAGAGATCGGATTCTTCATGGAACTGTGCAGGGGTGGGATCTGCCTGTCCCTCTTCTGTATCACCACTCACAAGAGCGTCTATGGAGCAAGTGCTCATGGCTTACTAGCTACTTCCTGAGGTGGTTTCTGCCTCAGTTTGGCTCCCAGTGGTGAAAGCTTAAACTTATTTTGGTGGCCACACTTCCTTTTTCAATTGTATTTTTGTTTTAAATCACAATTCCAGTTCCTTCCACAGATACTAGCAGTTGAAGAGTTTCCTGGAGTGTCTGAAGTGATCACCACATGTTCAGCATGATTTGGGGTGCTGACACCTTCCAAACATAGGGAGAAGCCATGACCAAGCAAGAGAGCATATAGAGTAGAAGAAAAAACAGTCCCAACTCTGTCCCCCACTAACAAGATGACATTGCATAATTTACTTGCTCTCTTTAGGCCTCAGTCTTCCCATCTGTGAAATGGTAGTATTGAATGAGATTGTCTCAATCTGGCTCAAACTGAGAAAAGGATTGAAAGAAATGAAGCCCCGCCCCAAGGATTTAGAGTGGGGTGTAGGGCGCCAGCAGGGACCCTTTTATTTCTCCTATCTCTGGGCACCACTTCTTTATACTGCTCCCACATAAAAAGAGCCTAATGGAAACACCAGCCTTACTTTGAAGCAATCAAGAGCCCTCTCCTGCCTCCTCAGAGTGTCGATTCAAGAGATAGGAGTCTGATTCTGCTCATGGGAATAGAAAGGATGCATTCTAGCCCTTCTGATGCCTAATCTTCCAGTGCATCTACAGAAAAACTATGCAAAGAGCAACCTTTAAAAGCCACACTGTATTTTTAGAATTTTGTGTTTCCTCTTAGCCATAATCCTGTGAGTAATACAGCAGCTTGTCTCCTGACAGGGGACAATACATATTAAAAAACAGAATATGTACTGCTATGAGCAGGGCGGAAAAGTGCCTTTTCTCCCCTAAAGCCTTCTCATTAGAGATTCTGAAGACTACTCCCACCATCGACTTTTGTGTTCCTCTTGTCCCGTTCCATATGATGGGTTTTCAAAGCCAAAGGGTAACTTAGTATTTATAGATTGTAGAAACTCTTTCTAGTTCGTTGACCATGTTATATATCATACAACAAATGACGTTTTTTGCAAGGTACTTGTGACTTGAACTCCATCTGAAGCTTGAGAAGGCTTTTGAATTGGTAGGTTAACTCTTTCACAAATTCACTTCAGTGGTGGAGGTCCAACTGAAAAGCAAACATGGAGTCAATCCAATTTCCTAAAGTGCCTCCTAAAGTACCCCTCCTGGGGTAGTGATTAGGCAACCAGATTGACCACTGAGGGGAACAGGACTGATTATCGGTTATAAAAATAGATTTCAGGAGAGCTGAAGGCTGTGAGTGGTCAAAAGTAGGTCCAGGAATTATAGAGACCATCTATAGGAAGATGCCAATCCAAAGGGGCAGGGAAGGCATCCAAGGTAAAAAATCACGCTGCTCACGGTAGGCCACATTGCTGCATTATGCTGCAGGAACAAACGGCTCCCAGATCTCAGTGGCTTATGACAAGAATGTATTTCTCACTCACATTATGTAACTGGCATGGGCCATGGAAGGACTGCTCTACACAGTCCCTCAGGGGCACAGCCAGTGGCTGCCGTGCCATCCCACAGCTGTGCATCTGGATGGAATGTGTGGCCTCTTCAGTTTCTGAAGAGAGGCTGATGGACGTGGACTTTTTACTGCTTCCTTCAAGAAGAGACATGAATGCCATTGCCTCTCACATTTCACTGGCCAGACCTAATCATGTGGCCCCACCTCACTGCAAAGTTTGCTGGGAAGTGTAGTCTTCCATATGCCCAGAAAGAGGGGAAAACCAGATATTGGTCAGCACAAGTAATGCCTGCCAACGCGATCTAGAATCAGGACTTCAAGATGAAGGAGCAGACGTGGTGGAACAGATTGCAGGGAGTATGTGCCGAGATTCCTGGAAGAGTTCCTGACAACCCCACTTGTCTCTAGGGTTAGAGAAAGCTCTAGGGCTGTCAAGATTTGAACAAAGTCTTAGCAATTTTAGGGGACCTGGAAAATGTTAGCTTTAAAGGGCCTTCCTGTTGTATCATTTTGATATTCTATATGTTTCATAATTTCATCTTCATCTAAATCTCTCCCCCACAACCCAATTCTTCAGTAAAAGTATGTGAACCTTAATTATGAAATCTCTCATCATCTTCATCATTAAGGGAGTCTAAGGCATTGATTACTCGAAGTTTCTGCAGATCCTAAGTGGGCCCCAGGATTCGCAGTCCCTTGTGGGACTACAGGATTAGGGATTGGAGAGGGACAGGTGACTTCACAGTTTTAAAAGTGTGGTTCCAAACCATCTTACTGACTTCTCTTTCTCACATGATCTTGATAGAAGTTTTAAATGCACAAACCTGTCCTCGTCTTTTATCTTCCTCCAAGTCTTGAGTAAGACATGAGATAACATCATTTTATCTAACTGCATTATTCTCAGGCTCTCCAAGGTAAATACCAGTTACCATTTCCCTACCAGAAAAGAATGTTCTCTTTCTTTGAGTTTACTTCCGTTGTCTGTCAACTAGGGATTAAAAAAAGAAAAAAAAAACCTACCTCACAGAGTTGCTGTGAGAATTAACGGGATGGTAGAGAGCGAGAATTTGGAGAGTGAGTGTTCGGATCCAGATCGATTTTTTTTTTTTTGGTAAGTTTGCTCCTCCTCATTATCCAAAACTCAGGAGCTAATAGATCCAACTACTGTAGCAAGAGATAGCAATGTGTGCGAAGCACCTGGTGTTCTTTCTGGTAGCAGGAGCTAGTACAGTCGTAGTATTATTACTGCTGATTCTGATACCATCACTTCACGACAATGATGGGTTTTCCTAGGGATTTGTTTTAGTGAACCAAATTCTGCTTGTGAACATAGATTTGTCTCCCCAGGGATGCTTTTGAGCAGAATATAAGAATCCATTTCAGCGTCTGGCCCTGGGATTTTGCCTGACGTCTCTCTCTTTTTACCTCTTTTCTTTCCTCGTGTTGCAGTGGTTTGAGGAATGACAACTGTGTTCGCAGACTCCGCGCTCAGCCCTGCTTCTTCCCGGACATCTCAGCTCTCCCACAGTGTAGTGACTTTCATTTTCTCTTCTGAATTGCAGTGCCGGTGGCAGATATCAAAGCTGTGGTGACGGGGAAGGACTGCCCTCATATGAAAGAGAAAGGTGCCCTTAAACAAAACAAGGTATGATTTCCAAATTCTTGCGAAGAGTGCTATCTGCACAGTGCAGTCAGCGACTGTGGGGGGCCCAGCCCCGCGTTACTAGCAATGCGCGTGTACATGCGTGCGCGTGCGTGTGCGTGCATGTGCATGCGCGTGCATGTGCTATCGCACGTCACTTACCCAGCTCTCCTTTTTCCTTCCCTGACTGCTTTTATATCCCTTAGGCTTAGGCTTTCACCGATCACTTTCAAATCCCTGCCTCCCCCACCTCTTCCATTCTCTCCCTTCCTGTCTCCTGACAACGGTAGGGATTGCCTCCCCACTGTTGTCACCCAAGCCACCCTCAAGCCTTCTCCCTTCATCTCCATCCGTTCTCTGGGCCTCTCCTAGCCGCCCATTTATGTTCGTGTTCTCCCTTCCCTGACTTCCACCTCAATCTCTTCCATTTTTCTCCTGCTGTCCTTACCTCCTCGGTAGCCTCTCTGGAGTCTCTGTGAAGCCTGGGAAAGGCAGAGACCAGAGGATTCAAAACATTTTAGAAAACTTAAGGGCCTGATAGCCTTCAGTGTCATGGAAAGTACTGTGAAATAACTCAAACCCAGCTTCAAGGGGAAAATTTCCCCAGAGGTGAATGAATATTGCTTAAATCCTCTTCATATCATAATAGTTTTCACCCTCCCCTCCTAGTTTACCAACCAGCTGTTCATCATAACAGCCCGGGTTCCATACTAGAGGGTGTGGGAGGAGACACTAGCTGAAAAGATGAAAGAATTTCCTTTGCCCCCACTTTGCAGGTATTTGCCTTTGGAAGGGCCACCAGGGAGCCAATTCGTTGTTTCTACCTCTCGGCATCTTGTGACACATAGTACCCCTCCATGAACAAAATTATCTAGATTGATCTGGGTGCTGCAGCCACTTTGGTACCAAAAATATCCCATAGATCTGTTGTACTGTAAAAGTACTGTTTAGGAAGATAAAGGGGAGCAGATACAGCCAAGAAGGCCAATAGCAAAATCATTGCTTCCTAAGTCACATAAGTATAACTCACCTCAACTCTGTGTGAATTCCTTCTTTGTCAAGCCTGTCACAGCACCATCATATAATGCACTTAACTGACCAGCATAATGATATAAGGGCATGCCTCAGAGTCTGTGGGTCACCTGTTACACAGCATTTCTCTCTTCTTTATGATATGGGGAAACAGGGATGGTACCGCTCATCAGATTTCAGATGAGCATCCTTAACTACACCAGCAAGTTCCCAGTCTTCATGGTTTGCCTCCTCTACCACCTGATATGCAGAGCACAGTCTCAGGGAGCACTGGCTCTGCTCAGCCCCGTGGTTATATAACACTTGGAGCTGAGCAGGAAATTAGCAGCAACAAGAGTTTATAACCCAGAGAAGGCCAGGAAGGGTATAGTTTGCAGCAAAACAGACTGCCAAGACTCATGCGCTCTGAGTAGGGATAGAGAGAATTAGGTAAAATGCATGTGGAGAGACTGGTTTCAGTCCCAACATGGGAGGCGCTTGGGAATTGTCACTCCTATCCTTGTAGTAAGAAGAAACTGAATAAAGTGAAAGTCAACAGTTTTCTTGGACCTACCAGGGAACTGAGGTTGCAAGGCAAACTGCCACCATGGAATCTGGAGAGTCAAGTGCATCCAGAGAGCCACAGCCAGATCTGCCCACCCAGGGCAGAATCCACTGGAGCTATAAATCGTAGGATCACTTAAATGACAATTCTGATTAATTGCTGTAGGCTGAGTGTGGGCTAGTGTGAGGGTGAAAAACTTAGGGTTTCAGTCTTCTAAGGGGTGGCATACTTTCATGGGCTTTACCTCCAGTAACCCTATCGGATTCTTACAGTGAAGAACTGAAAAGGACCACCCCTCATGTCTCTGGCAGGGGAAAAGGAAGAGTAATCATGAAATATGCCAGAGCCTTCTCCATAACAAATTTCTGTTCTCCAGACCTTTTTACTATCTAGAGGAAGAGAATTTCTCTCATTTTATCTCATTTTAGCCTTTCTGTCTCAACTGTGGGGTTGGGGGTTGAGGGAGACATAGTCAATAGCAGTCAGAGCCTCAAGGAAATTGGTAGGAAACTCTGCAGCCAGGAAAAAGGAGAGAGGGTGGGAGGAGAAGGGGAAGGCTATACCATTTGAGAAGGTGACAGCCAGAAGATACAGAGCCCCTAAAAGATGAAGACTTAATTGGCAAATTAAATGCTATTCATCACCCATATCCTACCACCACACTAATAAGACTCCAAGATAATATAACAATCAATCAGGGCTGAAAGTTCTGCAAGACATAAACTCTCTCTGAGGAAGAATACTTAGGGAAGCCCAAAGTCAATAGAGGAGACAAAAACAGGGACACTAGAGGAATTTGAAGCCTCTGACACTTATAGCTACAGCAAATATTAAACATATCCCAATTCCTTGTGAGATTAACATAAATCATCACCATAAGGGTCTATATATCTCACTTCCTATTGCCTGACACAACATGTCTGGATCTCAACAAAAATTATAGGCATGCCATAAAGCAAGAAAAAACAGCCTGAAGAAACAAAGCAATCATCAGAACCAGACTCCATTATGACACAGATGCTGGGATTATCAGACAGAGAATTTAAAATAACAGATTATAAGTGTTTTAGGCTCTAATGGAAAAAGGAGACAACCTGAAAGAAGAGATGGGTAA